GATATATATATATAGTCCTCAAATCTTCTTGATTTGAAGCTAGCTCTTACACCCCTTGTCTATCTGTCCCTTCTCAACTCCTTCTACCTGAATGTAGTGAAGTTTCAAAGTACTGGTATCAGCTACTCCTCACTCAGGTCGACAATATCCCCAATGTTTCCAGTTCTGATTTGTCTATTCAACTCCTGCGTCAGCCTGCATACCTTCAACTGAAATGCTAACCTAAACCTAAAACCATTTCATTTTATTTAAATGAATTCATATATTGACTGTGAAGGCACATTTGTAAAAATGTGCTTTTATAATGTTCAGGTATGAATGAATAATTCCAAGTCCTCTTCCGATAGTATTTCAAAGAGAAAGGGGAGGATTCAGTCAACATCATCAGCTCTAGCATAAAATGGCAAAGAAAAAAAATGTTAAGTAGAATTCACCCGCTGTATTTTCAGGTAGAAAATAGACGTTCCTTTGACAAATGTCAAAGGCTATCGAAGAACTAGGCCTGTATTCTGACCTAGTTCTTGCTTATAGAAGCAGTAAAACATTCCACACGTAGAAAAGTCAAGCATGGATGGGAATCATTTTGCAGTGGTGGGAAGAAGTGAGCAAGGACCTCTTCACTCTGTGCTACGGGAAAGGACAGGCCTGTCATCACCTGTCTGGGCTACAGCCTCTGCCACTTTGATTCTGCTTCTTAGTGTGTCAGTCAAATTCAGTCACTTACCTTGTCACATAGGTCTTTAAAATATTTCTTATTTTCCCATGTTTTAAGCACACCATCACCCCAGCACTGTTACTTCATGCTTAACCCAAGAAAAGATCCTGCGCTTTCACCTTCCCCACTGGAGGTCTTCCTGTTCCACTGTGCCTGATCTGACTGTACCCAGAGCTGGAATGGAACCCCTCTCCAGTGGAGCCTGCTTCCTGCTCTCCCTTGCCAGGAGAATAAATCCACAATCCTTCTGTGCCTTGGGTCATCCCCTCGGCCACTCCCTTCTTAGATTCTTTCCCCTGACACCTAACTTATGTTCCAAGCCTCTATTCCAGGAACACAGTTTCTTCATTCCAAAGCAAAGCTTCTGCTGTTTGAAGAGTGGGTCCCTGCCTCTTGCCTCTGCCTTCCTTACTCTGGAGACTGTTTTCCTCGCTGGCTTATCCTATCTTAGCTTTCAGACCTTTCTTATTCTTTAAGTTACAAGGAAAGCTGCACCTCTCCCTCCAGGTCTCCCTGGTGGACTCCTACCGTCTGAGCGGACTTAGAGATTTTTAAGCATTCTTAAACTTAACAGTGCTTTAGCACGCTGGTTTACCTTCATGTATCTATATATTTTCCACAAAACTGGTTGCTTCTTCCCATAAATGAATCATTTTGAGAAGAGACATGCATTATAAATATTTTTCAAATGTTTCCCACAAAACAATAAACCCAGAGCCAAGAACCTTAGAAGAACCAAAAATCTGTAAGGAAATAGGATGAGTGCAATCTTCAAATCCCTCTTCCCCATTTTTAAGACACATATTTCTTTGTCATCTTCTAGATACCATGAAAAGATTTAGCAAGTTTTATTTTCCTATTTTAAATGGTCAGAGTTAGATGAATAATATATGAAAAGATACATTGTAGAAAGCAATCAGAGTGATTATTGTTGTAATAAATCCACAGCATAAAAGAGTAAGTTTTAATTAATTCTATCAAAGAGTGAAAAAAAAACAACTGAAAAGATAAACTCAGTTTAAGAAGTTTAATGAGTTTTGCTACATAAATATTAGAAGGCCAAATACTTATGCTATACAAAATTCAACATAATTAAAAATATAAATTGACTCCTCAATTTAAAATAACATCATAAAGACGAATTTTTTAAAGACTATGGGGACTGAGATGATTATTCACTTAAGAAATTGCTTACCACTCTGTCGTCTCCAGGTGCTTCTGTGTTTGATATGATTAAGTTTTGCTGTGCTAAATCTTCGGGAAATTTTTTTCCTTTCTGGGCAGTAACAACTCCACATACTAAAGTTAGCAGTACAGCTACGTAAAAAATAAGAAGAACACGTTTTAAAAAGAACAAAATTTAGCATCATAAAATAGAATATAATAAAATGTAGCTTAACTACATAAGCCTTGGGGTCAGAGGAGGACAGAACAGCAGTATGACTTCAGCTATCTGGGCCTTTCCAAATTAACTGGCACAACTTAAAATTTGCAGTGATCATATGTGTATTTTGTTAAGTTTCCTAAGAGGATGAAATCTTTCCTTTGTGTGAAAGCATTTATAATCATGAGTTCAACAGTACATCGTAAAAATATCTGACTTTTAAATCAGATGTTAAAGAGATTTACTAATTTTCAAAAGAAGAGTTTGTCCATATGGAAACATAAAAAGTGCTTTTGTTCTCAGAATATATTTATCTCCAGTAGACTCAACGAAGCCCATTTTATATCTTACCTATTTAGCACTTTATTCTACCTCATAACTATGGGAGGTTTAAAATATATGACAATTAAACCAACAGTAATAACAGTAAGTAATAATTCTTTACAGTGGCCTATAAGACACTACAAGAGGCTGTCTAGCTATGGCCCCAATCCAGCCACCACATGCTTTTGTACAACCCATACGCTGAGACATTATTTCAATTTTAAATAATTGAAAAAAGCAAATGAAAGATTTTAAGAGTTCAAAAGATGAAAATAGTATGAAATTCAAATCGTGAATGTATATCTGGAGTTCTACTAGAGCAAGCCTGCACCCAGCATTTCCATGTTTCTGTGGATACCCCCAGGTTACAAGTACAGATTTGTCTGACTTCATTGGCCCATGAAGCCCTAGGTGCACACTGCGTGTTTTGACAGAAGCACTGTCCTTGCCCTTACTTCCGCCAAGAGCGAGCTTCTAGCTTTGTTTCCTAGTGTTTCCCCTTCCCCAGTTGCTGCCTAGCCAGTCTCCATGTCCCGCCACACCACCTGCCTTTTTTCTAACTGAGAGCCCTCCCCCTGGTTATTCTACATGGTTGACTCCCCATCAGAGGCCCAACCTAATGGCCTGACAGCTGTTGAGCTTTGTAGCCACCAGCACTGATGACCTCACCATATGCTGAAGCATTATTGATCCTGCTTTTTTGAACTCTTTTTTGTCCTATGCCTCTGCTTGTCAAGAGTCGGTTTGTTTAGAGATTATCGTTTGTTGGTGTCTATTTTGTTCTCCGATGAATCCATACCACCTAATACCATTTTCTGGCATTTATTAGATGTTCAAGATATATACTGGTTGTTAGGTTGATGAAAAAAATGACTGTATATTAGAAATGTAGAATGCAATATTAGAAAGTTTCACATTCATTTCGCATCCATTAACTAATACTCCAAACAGCTGCTACTATTGTCCCTACAAATGAGGAAACAGAGCATGGTTAAGTAAACTGAAGTATTTTTAACAATTCTGTCCAAGTATAAAACCTCTCTCAGAAAGGGTCATGTTCCCTCAAACATTAAATTTCTGATCAGAACTTAGATATAACAGTAACACTAAGGAACTTGCAAAGCAAACTTAGGCCTGATAGATGATGCTTGGCTGTTTATATCTGAAGGATCCTTCCCTGTATCAACTCTTTCATTTTTCATTTTCACTTCAAGTGGAGGAAAGCACTTACAGAAGAGCAGCGCAATGCCCAGTAATATGGCAAGGATGGCCCACTTCCCCAGGGCTATGCCTGCACTCCTCGACCTGACGAGACACTGACTCGGGTGAGTACAGTCACACAGGTTCACTCTTAAGATTTTGGTTGTGGACTGGCCTGCTCTGTCTTTTACAGTGATGGGAATGGTGTATTCTTGAACTTCAGCATTTTTATGGTATGACAGGCGGGCAGCTGTATCTGTAAGGAAAGAAAAGAATTTCACATTTACTTACTTTGTGTGGGGAGGTGTACACGTGTGGGTGCACACATGTAAAAAGTACCCCAGGTGGCCTCAGGTGCTGGTTGTTTTCTGAGACAGGATTCTCACTGTCATACAACTTGAGATAAGGCTAGGCTGGATGGCCAGCAAGTCGCAGGACCCACCTGCCTCCTCCTCCTCCTCCAAAGCCCTAGGATCACAAGTACACATCACTGCACCCAGAATTAGCACGTGTGTTTGGGGGCCTGAAGTCAGGACCATATGCTTGCAGCAAGCACTTTATTGGCCAAGATGTCTCTCTAGCACTCAATTTTGTAATTCTCTTTACTTTTTCCTTAGGGTACATTTTACCAACCATTTTAGCAGCCATTGTTTTCAAGGACGCACCTGCCACATGAGAATAAATACAAAGAAAAGGCTGTCTTCAACCCTGTCAGGGAATAGTATCACCTTAGACATGGTTTCCCTTATGGCTCTGTGAAAGAGAGAGTCTTAAGAAATGTGGAGCCAGAGGTGGTGGTGTACACCTGAATTCCTATCACTCAGAAGTAGGAGGGGACTGAAGCAGGAAGATAGCAGGTGTGAGGCTAGCCTGAGCTACATAGTGAGACCCTACCTCAAAAAGCCAAAATAATAATAATAATTAATCATAATAATTTGGTATTGGAATGATCTAGTAGCTCCTGTAATATTTGATTTTCCCATATCTAAACAGACTACGAACACTAGGTTGGCGCCTACCATGCAGATCAAGCATTGTTCCTTAGTACCAGTTCATACCTTGTTAGGAATTAACACCTGCATGGACACATCCTCGTGGCCATTTACCTTTGGCTATCTGTCCATTGTCCTTCTGGATAAGGTGGAGTTTCAGAGTGTACAATACATCCCAGCTGATTAATGCTTAGCGTGTGGAAATGATCTCCACACCAGAGAGCTAATTATGCCTCTCTGAATTACACAAAACAAGTCCACTTAATTGATAACAATCTGTTTTTGTCAACCATCATAGTCCATTTTCCCCAACTGTCTTGATACCTTGTTTTAATAATGCTATTATCAGCTAGCCTAAAGCTCCATAGACTGTCAATGGCAACCGCAACCTCCTTGAGTTTTTACAATAGGATAAAAAGGACAGCAAAGCAGCATGCAGACAGCCCGGAAGTTGCTTTGGATCCCTACACCTTCATAAACATGCTGCTAGAGCTGCAAGTTTTTGGCTGTACCTTGAACCTGAAAACTTGCTGTAGGAATGTGAATTAGTACTTGGGTTATATTGGAACACTCCAGGAACACCAGTGCATGAGGAAAGAGCTTTCAAATCCCTGACCTTCTTCAGGACCACTAGCTAAGCCACGTCACACATTCATAGTAGTCTCTGACTTCCCTCCTCACTGAGCTCTACCCTCTTCAAATTGTCCCCCTGACAATATGTCACATATCTATGTAAGTTGTGAATGCAGCATGACCTTCCTTCCACAATCACAGTACATTACCCACTGTCACCTATGTACAAAAGTCAGTCTCCACAGCTCAGGACAAAAGGCTTATCACCACCAAACTTCAGCCTTCTTCAGACACTGACTATACTTTCTAAACTCTGATGATAACAAACTACTTATTTTCATAACATTTTTTTCTTTATGCATATTCTTTAATCAAAACATTAATTAAGCAAAAATGATTTAAGCAGTTAGTGTCTTCTGGGCACTGAACTCAGTGCTAGAAATAAGAAGACAGACTACAAATGTTTTGAGAAAGGTGTGTGTTGGAGACCAGAGGTAACCATGGTAATGCAAGGTGAAAGATGCAATAGTACATGATGCCAAAGGTTGCAGGACCCCCCCCCCTCGTACCTGGAGGAAGAGTTCTCAGAGGTTGGGCATCTGCGCTGCTGTTTGCCTGTCTTATGCTCCTCTGCATCAGCAGCAGGGTCTGACCAACAGTAAGTACTCCATAAAGTTTTATGAGTTAATATCAAGCCAAGACACGGGACAGGCAGAAAGAATGGCTTACCCAAAGGCTAGCAGCAGTAAAGAACATGGCATTTTAAATATTTTATTTATTTTTTATTCTATGTGTATGTGTGTGTTGCCTGCATGTAGGTTAAGTGCACCCGTGTCGTGCAATGCCCGTGGAGGACAGAAGAGGCTGTTGAATCCCCTGGAACTGGAGTTACTGACAGTTGTTAACTGCCATGTGAGTGCTGAGATTCGAACCTGGGTCTTCTGCAAGAACAGCCAGCGTTTTTAATAGCTGAGCCATCTCTCCAGCCCAGAACATAGCATTTTAGCAGAACTGCAGAGGGAAATGGTCATGAAATGCCAACCACACCCCAGAAACTGGTACAGTAGTAGACCAGCTCCTTTTCCACAGAGCACCATGCTCCTCACCAAGATGCCAGAGCACGTCTCTCTTACATCAGTGCCCTCACTTGCACAGCCTGTTTATAACAAGCATAATTTACACTGCACATCGCCTGACCTCTCTGTAGCATTCTGGTATTGTTTTGAAAATACAACAAAAAGTTTATTTTAACAGTAATTTGCCCAATATTTTATAAAGCTGTTTTGTCTTTGCTGCAAATACAGGTTTTGCATGCAAAGAAGTTAAACTCCTTTTCATCTTGTCTGTCACCATTCAATACCAAGGTTAATTTAGGGGGCGAGGAGATGACTCAGTCAGTAAAGCACTTGCCTTACAAGCACAGGAATCTAAACATGGTGGGTACGGTGACACAGTGCTTATAATCACACCACAGTGTTTCTTACAGTCAGTGCTGTTAAAAACCAGCATTGCTTACAAACCACAAAGCTGGGGAGGCAGAGACAGGAGGATCCCTGGGCAGCCATTCCAGTCTAACTGGTGAACTCCAGGCCAATGAGAGACCAACCGTCTCACAGGAAGTGAACAGCCTTCCTCAGACTGACACCCAAGGTTATCCTCCAGCATAGACATACACACACACACACACACACACACACACACACACACACGCACACACACACACAATTAAAAAAGGTTAATTTAACCTCCTAAATTTTTGCATTATGCTTTGTATAAATAAACATGCAAATCCCTCCCGTAATTATTATTTTGTTTGTTTGGAAGCACATGAATTAATATCTTAATTGAATACCATTAACTTGGCTGAGAGTCCAGATTCTGTTGACTTCTGGAGAAGGGTTTGCCAACTTGAACTGAAAGGGCGGTCCATTGACAGGCGCATCAGGGTCCATGGCTGAAATGTCTGTATGCCTCATCTTTGGCTTGCAGACTACAAGATAATCTTGAAGTATCTGTGGTGCATTGTCATTCACATCTTCAATGTTCACTGCAAGCGTTCCCGTGCACGATCTACCATCTGAAAAGGGACAGGAACAAGGCTGGGTGCTGTTTCTCTTCTGGTCTTACAGGTTCCAAAGAGGAAAGTAAATTCCAACCAACATTTTCATATCTACACAAATTTGGGTTCTGTACATGTCTATATCTGGCTTATTTTGCTTAATTTAATGATCTCCAGTGGCATCTATTTTCCTGGAAGTGTCACGATTTCATTTTTCTTAACAGCTACATAAAAGCCCATTCTTTGTCCATTCCTCTGTGATGGATATCTAGACTGATCTTACTTCCTGGCAATCATGAGTAGTGCTCAAGGCACATGGAAGTGTAAGCAGTTAGAGTCCTTCAGGTGTAAATGCATGCACGGTACACCTAGCATCTACATTTCCTTAAATATAATCTCTGGTAATTAGATGAACAGAGAGCAAGAATGTGCCTGGCTTCAATCTGCAGACCATAAAATGATGATTGGTGCTGGTAATATTAGATGCAAGTTTCAACAAACTTTTTACCAGAATTATCATCAAATCACACAAGCAAAGGCTCTTTCCTCTGGTTCCTACATGTTCATGAGCCATGATGAAGTGGTTATAGAAATGTTACTTTAATCCCAGGATACATTCAAAATCTTCTACGGAGATTTTTAGAATATGCTATCCAGGCTCCATGACCAAGGCAATGGCTATACTTCGCAATTTGTTATTTTCATGTAAAACAAGTTCAGAAGAAATATTGAGCTGGTTTAAGACTCGCATTCAGGTGAAGGGTTATTCTGATATTTTGACAGAAAGAGATGCTTATCAACAAAGCCACCTTCTGGATAATTAAAAGAGATACTAGCTTTAAAGGTAATTTCAAAGAATTCCATAGTCTTATTACAAGATTAATTCTGCACAAGAATAATTTTAAGTTATTCTCCCATTTCATTATAAAATACTAGATTAAATGTTTGTTACCTTGATCTATTGCCATGACTGTAATATTATATAAGTCATTTCTAGGAGTCATGACCTCTCTGTCCAAGGCTTTAGATATTGTGAGCACCCCCGAAATTTCTTCAATGCTGACCCACTCTTTTGGATCATGCAATTTTTTGTACCTGTTAATAAAATGAAATTAAAATGTATCATCACACATCATAAAACAAGTTAGCCGTCTCAGTTATGACAAATGTATCGTTACATGGTTGCAGAGATTTTGTACCTTAAGCCATTGCTGTTCTTGGTTTCAGGGTCATAAGCCTTGTAGCCATTGACCTTGGAGCCCACTGCCGAGTTTTCTTTGATCTCTACATACTGAGCAGGTGGGTTGCATTCGGGCCCTTCATCCTGATCCTTCACATGAACTGTAACCAAGGCTCGGTTCATGGTTGGCACTCGGCTGGCAACGTCTCTGGTAAACTGAACTTCATTGTTCACTCCAATCTCTAGGATGACCTGGCGATGTTCTTCATAATTCAGTGGCTTAAAAACATAGGACATGTACTTCAGTGAAGTACGTTTTGATATTTCCAGCTGCAAGTGAACTTTCATCAGTGCCCAGCGTTGTGTAAGTACATGTTCACTGTTCACATTTTTTCAATAGTGACTTCTTTGTATCACTAATGAGAGATGTGATCCTGTGCTAACCAACCTTTAGCAAGAGTCACCCAAACTTCTCCACAGATGACTTCACAGAATGGTGGAAAAGAAATTCTTGCACTATTTAATAGTCAATTATTTTAAAGAAAATTATTCCAAACCTGGAAATATTGGCAGATAATGCAGATGTCTAACAGGCTAGTTGTTAGGGCCATCTGACTCTATAGAGGAAGACAATTTGACTGCTGGCCACTACCTTAGGGACCAGGGATTTAACAAATCTTGTGAAAATGGATGTTCACTTCAACAAAACACAAAGGGTGCAATGATTGTATTCATTTTCTTTTTATTTATTATTTAGTTATTGTAAATGCCTGTTTTGAGGGTGCATTGGGCTTTGCATGTTTGCTTGTTTAGTTTGGTTTGAGGTTCTGTTGTTATTTGTTTATTTCATTTTGCTTTATTAAAACAGTATCACTATGTAGCCCAGGCTAGCCTTGAATTCACCATGCAGTCCAAGCTGCCTTTGCATCTATGGCACACACACACAAATAAATCTTTTAAAACACATACACTTGTTTTCAAATTTGTCCTTGCACCTAGATATTAATAGATTGAGATACTAATAGTCTTGAGTTCTCTAAAAGGTGAGAAATATTTTTGAATCTTAGAACCAACAAAATGCTTGTGTAATTATATTCTTATCAATATCCCAGAAACTAAGAACCAAGAGGATAGAAGCATTAAGATCTGCTTATCTGATGCTGTTTATCTGATGCTGGGCTTTGCATGACAATCTCAGAAGCCACAGAGGCTAGGTCACCATGTGGAGGGGGGAGGGTAACTTTTGGCAATGAGAAAGAAATAGAAATGCAGGAACCCTGGCACTGACCAAAGTACTGTTGTGAGATCCAGATCAGCTTCACGGTTCTTCCTGCAAGTTTAGGCTTAAACAAATGTGAGGAATACAAATTCTCTTTACCTTAAGGCTTGTGCTTGTTTTATTGCTTTTAAAAACATATTCAAAAATATCCCATGTCTGTGCAGAAGTGTAGCACTCCCCAGAAAGTGCCCTATCCTAAAGGTGGAACCAACTGAGGACCCCCCAGGTAAAATGACCCTGAGCAACACTGTCCCCACCCAAGAGCTCATGCAAGGCTATTACTGACAAGGGGCAAGACAAACTGTCAAGCTCTACCCAACTGAGAGACAAACCCAAGCAATTCTTGATTTAGTCAAGTGATTAGTTAACCCTTCCATGTATAAAAGAAGGAATAAAGCACTTTCTTCTCTTGGACATGGTCCAACTAACACAGAAGAGCCAGGCTATTGGAAAAGGAGAATTCCTTTAAAATGATCAACACATACCTCATGATTCAACCTGCAAAACAGAAACATGGCCTACCTAGCAGAGAGCAAATTGCAAATGCTTCAATTCAGCTGTGTTTGAGTTACAAAGATAAAGCATGCTATTGAGATTAGAAGGCACTTAAAGGCATAACTGCACAAATATTTTCCTAGGAAAAGAATAAGATGCCTTTAAAGACTTTGCTGAGTGTTGAACAAGATCAAAACTGATAATGGGCTGGAGATAAGACTAACTGGCTAAAAGGACTTGCTGCACTTCCTGAGGAGTATTGCCACATGGCTGTTCAAAAGATGCTGTGACAAATTCAGTTTTTCTAAGATTTTGCAAAAAAAGAATGTTGAAAGGGGAGCTCTGACACAAATGACACAGCTCATGCTAAGTACTTGATATGTCTGGCATTTGGTAAATAATAAATGCTAGCTATTACTGTCAATGTTCCTTTGCAATCCAGGTATGGGTCTATGAGAGGAGGAGGCAGACAGATGCCGTGGTATGGTGAATAGAATCTGCTAAATGGGCTTAGTGGGTCATGATGTAAAGTCATAGGAAGATTGGCTTTGGAACATAATAAACCAGGTTAGGATTCTCAGATGGATAATTGCTATGTTTGCCTTTCAGAAACTGATTTACCTCTACCACCCTCGGGTTGTTTATTAGTATCATTATTATTATTATTATTAAGTTGGAGATATTAAATCTTATCCTAAAGGGGAAGTAACAACTAGGTAAAAGTTGCATAAAGTGCCTAGTATCCTTCATTGCTTAGCACATGCAATATGTTTAGTTCATAACTCATGTCAATTTTTTAAAAATACTGAATGTGCTCCCTAGATGTTTAAGCATAAATTATGTTCTATTTAAAACCCTGTGAATATGCATACATATTTATAAATAAAAGTAAAACCGTCTTGTGTTATAAATAAAGATAATACATACTTTCAAGGTTTACTGGGAAGAAAATTTTATGGTCTTCATATGTGGAATTAAGTGCAAGTGAACTAGAGACAAAGCAGGCAATAGACAATCTGACAGCCCTCTTTCATGGAGAATCCCCAAGTGGAACCCAGAAGACAGTCTCAGAAACTGAAGCTGATGTTTATTCATCATTTGGAATCAGAAGTATTCCGAGGTCTAACCCACAGCTTCCATATGCATGTGGAATATCACTTTTAACACCTCTGTAATAAGTTATTCCTTGGAAAAAGAGGCAATTGTCCTGGTTAGCTTCAACTGTCAACTTGACACAGCCTACAATTATTTAGGAAGAAGTTGCCTACATCATGTTGGCCTGTGGATATGTCTGTGGGATTGTCTTGTTTATTAACTGATGTAGGAGTGCCTAGGCCACTGTGGGCAGCTCCACCCATAGGCAGGTGGTCCTGAACTGTATAAGGAAGATAGCTGAGTATGCGCCAACCTGCAAATAGCCTCCTCCATGATTCCTGCTTCACTTCCTTGGATGTGAAGAAGGTCCTTGTTGCAGAGGTGATGCTGTGTGGAATAAAAGCTCTGTCTTGAGTTCCTGCCTTGCCGTCCCTCAGTGATGAACTATGACCTTTAGTTGCAAGCTGGAATGAACCCTGTTCCTCCACAAAGTTGCTTTTACTTAACATATGTAGGTTCTCCAGAGGTTTTGGTTCCTCTAAGGGGCGGTGCCTCCTGGGGAGAATTGACTGTGGAGAGTTAGCAACTGAAGGAGGGGCTTGTGGCACCATCTTGGGACAAAAGCCCTGCAAGCTGCCAGGAACATGTGGTGGTGGGCATGGGGAATGTGCAGCAGCTGGCGTACTCAAGGGCAGAATGGCCTGGCACTTACGGACCTGGGGCAAGACTGCTGGTCCCTGAGGTGTGGGCAAAAGCTAGCAGTGACTATGGGCGTGTGGCAGGAGTGATCTGATATGGTGGGCTCTGAGCTGGGGTGCAGAGCTGCGTGGTGCGGAGCTGAGCAGCATGGAGCTAGGCACTGGGTGCTCCTTTCTCCGTAAGTCACTCCCTTCCTCCCCCCACAATAATAATAAATGCACATAAAGGTGTGTTATATGGTTTGCCGGATAGCGCAAGAGACCCAGGGAGAACTCTGGCAACAATGTGTTATCACAGCAACAGTAATGAAACTAAGGCAATTCTGAACATGTTTACATACACCTAATGACTAGGTTGCTTCTTTTTCTAGAATATATTTTGACACAGTTTACTAGAGATCCTTTTGTATTGGCGAAAACAAACCTTTGATAGAATCTCTCTTAGTGATATTAGTATGCTGGCCCCTAAGCCAAAAAAGGAAACTGAGAACTAATGATATTGATATATTATGGTTTCTTCATGTGGATCTTGAGTCCTGTCATTAATTGAAAGACATCAGACCTTCTCTGATGGACAGATGGAGAATGAGTAATTGGAAAGGCCCAAGCTTGATTCTCCTGGAATAAGTTATTATCATTGGCATGACCTTTCTTTCCATCCTGTATCTCAAAATTCTTCTTTGATTTATTTAAACTTGGGAAGGGAAATCCCCAAGTACATGGTAGAGAGGAAAAGATGACAAAAACATTTTGTGAAATGTCTATAATCACATCATATTTGAGGCAAACGGGGGTTGCTATGGAAGAATTCAGGTTGGAAGCTGGAGGTGCTTAGCAACACTTTTCAAACGAACTCTGCACCAAAGTCCTCAGCCTACCTTAACTTTAGCTGCAACTGTGGTAGACAGAGCTCATTTACACTGATAGACCACATTCACCTCTTTAGGCTCAGGGTTTCCTCCAAAGCCAGGCAACTCTTTCTACCAATGGAAAGTCCATCACAGTTCAGGAGCTGAAGGGAGTCAACCTCCAACCAGTGGAGATAGGTGTTGGGAATAGGAGATCCTGGACAAATCCCCCTGACACCTATCTTTGAACAGATGATTCTGAAGTTTGTTCTACATGGTCCTTCCATGATTGAACACCACTAATTCAGACTCAATTGACTTTTCTTTGTTCCTTGTCTTACATCCCATTTTCATTCAGGCTTCTGGTATCCACTGCTGAAATAGCTACCTGCAGTGGCATCCTTATCTGGGGCTCGGTTTTATGAAGAGTTCAAATAAAGAATGGACCAAAAATAAAGAAAAAATGATGGCTGCCATTTACTATTTTCTTTCCTTCTATGGTCAGTATGAAGTTTCTTTTTTGGCAGAGGCTGCCATTTACTATTCAATTGGAGTGGACTATATTGTAGGAAAATAAATTAGAAGCTTGATGTTGAGACTGTACATTTGACTATTCACATTTGAATAGAACTTTCCAGGGTTTAATATGTAACCCCTTAGAATTCTTACAGAGGAAACAACTACCAATACCAAAATCTATGTACCCAAGTTTCCACTATCTTCTTATCAGTGGGTAAGTGGCCTTTATCCAGTGAATAGCCCCCACATCTGTCTACAGCTCATTACTCTTTACTTTCCTTTATTTACTGAACAGCCATTGGACCTACCACAGCCCACTACTCTTTAGTTATAGGCAAGAAATATGAAAACAAATATCCTTGTCAAACAGAGCCCTTCCTGCTCTTATAACGTAAGCCAATTATACCAGACAACCAAGTAACAAAATACTGAAATGAAGAAAAATCTGCTCCGTGCTGTCTGATGTAATGTGGCACACCACCCTCAGTATTGCCTTCTAAGGATCAGGTGCAACAGGGATACATTCTGGAGAGAATAAGAAGAATGTGGGGTTCTCAGCTATATTATCTAAGGGTTAACAGAATTAGGACTCGTCTCTAAAGAAGGAAAGTCTCAAATGGGCATAGAAGAACTTTCTAAAAGACCTGTGTCTGTTTAATTAGAGATAAAGCCAGGCCCCAAAATGTGGTTTATAAAGAAAATGACTTATGCAGACCTGAAGTAAGAATGTGTGAGAAAGGGAGATCTCTAAATATGGGGGAAACCTGCCACAGGAGATAGGGGGATCATTATCATTATAAATGTTCTGACATACACTAGAAGACAAGAGAGACAAGCCTTAGGTGGGAACAGTCAGACTAAGTAGCTCTCTTTCAATTTACAGAGCGCATGATCTGAAACATTAAATCACTAAGAGGTGGAAGGTGACTAGTCACTGATCACCACTGTACCTTCACAACACACAGAACTCCTTCATTAGTCGCTGGGTCTGTCGTGATTTTGAAGCGTCCGTTTTCATTTCCTTTTAAGATGGTGAAATTTGCCTTCCAGTTGGCGCTGTTAATCAAGTCTTTGTCATCTATAGGTATGCGCAAGATTTCTACATTATACGCGTTTTCCTCTACTGATGTTTCATACTGGAAGAAAAGGAATGTATTAAAAATGGACTGGGTATGGAAAAGTTTTACAAAGTAAAATGCTTCTTGCAGCCCTGAACTACGTGTCCTTCTACTTTTTCACAGATTACTTTGAAACCATAAAGCACAGACAGTGTGGTGTCAGGAAGTGCTATCTTTCAGAAAAACAACTTTCCTTACAGATGAAGAAGACTAATGTTACTGGGCTTTAACGAGAGGCATATTATACTAATGTCGAGAAACAAAAACTATATATAGCTATATATGCTATATAAACTACAATTTTATTTGGAAATGAATATGTGCCTCAAGGTATGTCAAATATTTTATGAATTCAGATTAAATGACAAAAGTAGACAAAGACAGATTTGGGTATTATGAACTTACAGCATTTTGTCTGAATGTGGGCGCGTTATCATTGGAATCCTGCACTGTGATGAGGCAAGTTGACGTACTGATCAGTCCAAAGAATTGACCGTCCATGTCTTGGACTTTCACTATTAATGTGTACTTGTCTACAACCTGAAAGTAGACCAATTGCTTAATTGACCTTAGACACTTCTTTACATTCATAAATGAATCTAATTTCGCATTCTTTTACTTGCATGTATACAGTGATTTTATTTTATTTCTCTATTGTCATGAACCTTTAAGACTTTGGTAGAGACGAAGGCTGAAATGGTAGCAGGTTACATTACAAGGAGACATCCTAGAAATTTAGATTGATGCTCTACAAGAAAGTAGGGGGAATGGTATGAAATAAGAGGGGAATACAAAATAAATACATTTGAGCTTTAGAACATTCTTAAGGAAAACTAAGTATTATCTAGAGTGAGCCAAGCTGAGCATCAAAACAACCAGCTATAGAGCTCCTCAAATATCAGGATTGGACCTGCCTTAGGACTTTCTACCTGGTGGTCCAACCTGTGGCAGTAGAACAGAAACAAAGGAGGAGGAGAGGTAGTTTACGTGGGAGTTGGAGCAGAGTAGGACTTCACAAACAATTATCTAAGTTGAAAGAGAAAGAGGCAGTTGAGTCTGATGTTCAGGAATCCTATTTATGTAGGCAGGCAAGGCCACCACCCACCAACACAAGAAATCCAGAATGAGATCACTCTCTAAGGACAGGAACACTACAGAGCAGGGCAAGGAAGGATGGGAACATGAGCTTTGTTTTGCACATGTCGGATTGTATATTTCTAATGAAAATCCAAGGAAAGAGAACCAAGAACATCTAAATATGCTTCCTCCTTCAAAGAGCTATCATGGCAGGAGGTACTGATGTGGAAGCATACATACGTAGACGGTGGTTTAAATGGTGGCAGGAATCAGGTGTCCAGGAGAGGTTATGGGATGAGCAGAGCAGAGGACATGGTGAAGAGGACATGCATCTCAAGCTAAGAGTAGTAAGAAGGTTTCCAAGAAGCAAGATGGAAACCAGGACTCCAAGGAAAATGAGTTTAACAAGTACCAACAACAGACAGGGATATACAGTGACTGTTGAACTGGCCGTTTGGAGGTCCCTATTGATTTCTGAACGTGGAGTGAGAGGAGTGAGATGAGGTTATTTATCTGTGATGTAGACTCATCATCGTTTTGTTTTCCCTTCTGACTCCCCTCTCATCCTTTAGCGCTCAGTTTGTTCACTCTCCCTCTGACACTGGAGGTCAGCGCTCCCATAGACATCAAGCCCATGATGCCTTTCGTGTAAATCCATTCTGCATTCCTTTTGTCTCATTTGTTCATTCCCTGTGCTGTGCTGCACAAAATGACTCTGCCCCGACAAAATTCCGTTAGTGATTTTTTCTTTTGGGTCTCCCCATAGCCCCAGCTGGCCTGGAACTCACTATGTCGACCAGGCTGATCTTGATCTCACACCATCAGATTTTTTTTCAACAGGCAAACATGCAGGGTTTGGCCTCTAAAATGTAGCAAACAAGTTTTGCAGGCTTTAATTATTGCATATTGCTTAACTTCATCTATTTTAATTTGCATAAATGAGGGAAGACTCATTTTGACTTAGTTACCATATCAATCTTACATACTAGAAGAATATATAAGTATCCACACTGTGCCTTAAGAGTTTCCCATTTACTATTGTGATGACTTGTAAGCTTGATAGGATTTAAATTAATCATGGAACCACAGCCCTGGGCATGTCTCTGCGGGAGCTTCTCGACTGGGTAAAGTGAGGTGGGAAGACCCGACCTAAATACGGGCAGAGTCATTCCTCGGACTGAATAAAAAAGAGAAAGTGAACTGAACACCAGCATCATCCCTTTCTATTTCCTGACGGTGGATATGATGTGACCACCCGCTTCAGCTCCCGCCACCATGCCCTCTCTGTCAGGATGGACTGCACCTTGAACTCTGAGAAAAGAAATCCTTCCTAAGTTGCTTTTGTCAAGTAAGTTATTGCGGCAACAAGGAAAGTAACCAGTAAGTTACTGTCATTACCTGTTTTACAACATAAATGCTCCAACATTCAATATTGGCACTTAAAACCTTTGCACTACTTTATATTCCTGTCAGTAAATTCTCACATTCTTCCTTTTTTGTTTACAGTCAAATTCCATTGATTTCTTTTTACTGTATTTCCCTCTGTTATATCAGTCTTTCTAGTTATTTGATCCAAGCTGTAGTGGGTATACCATCAAAGTGTTCCAATAAAGTTATTTTGAACATGTGAAATTGATCCATCCACTTTGGTTAATAATGTGTGACTCTGAGTTTAACAGGTGGACATGACAGAAATAGTAACAGCAAAATATTAGAAGACTCTGTGGAATAATTTGACTTGGGCAAGTCAATCAGTCTGTCTGACCATCACACTCCTGTCTCGACTGGTCACTGTGATTTTTTAGTCAATCCGGTAATTATAAAGAGCAAGTGATATTCAAACAAAGGGCTTGAGCATAAATTGCCCCATACTTATTCATATACAGGTACTATCATCCAAATAATGTAATAAATCTTTTATAATTTTAATTTTATCCCAACTAATAATTCCCTTTTAAAAAGTACACACATCTACACTAACTGAATAAGGGATCCAAATGTGAACAATATCCGCAAAACAAGTAAAACTATATTGTCCTACATGACTATTGAAGCCTTTACTGATGATCTGGAACCAACTAGCCACACAATAAATAAAATAAAATAAAAATACTCAACAGTTTTCATAAGAAACGTTTTTCTCCTCCCTTTTAAACACCGATTGAGCTGTATTTCTATGACTTATGGTTTCTGTTATAAAAAGAAGTAGGAATAATGTTTTAAACACCAAAAAACATGCCAGGAATTCTTACACTCTTATGCTTCAAATAAAATAAGATAGAGTAGGCAAATTACAGTAAATGGGGGAAAGAGGGTTAAATCCAGTTTGAAACGATATTCTGCAGTGACACACTACCTCTCTGTCCATGTAGTGGGAGACAGTGGTGATGACGCCGGTATTCGGGTGCACAGAAAAGAGCCCAGGTGATCGTGGGTTCTGCTCCAAGATGCTGTACCTCAGGCGGGTATGCATCGTGTCAGGTTCGTCTCTGTCCGTGGCACAAACCGTTCCCACTACAGTACCTGTGTGTTTAAAAACAGCTTTGAATCTCCACAACAACAAATGTTTGGAACTGTATACACTTTTTAACTTGCAAGAACAGTGGTAGAAATCTAATTTACATTTTTCTTACCAAATGGATCACGTCTTTACACAGGACAGAAGAGGACTTCAAATGGAGGAGCCAGACATTCTGGCATTGAGAACCAAGGTATTTTCCTCACAGATTAAAATATTTGATAGCAGACTACTAAAAATGATGACTTAAATGGCAATCAATAGGAACTTCAATGCAGGGCATTAACCCATGCATGGAATTAAAGAAACTGAGATAGGAGAATCGGGAATTTGAGATCAACCTAAGTTACACAGCAACATCCACCTCAAAAACAAACAAGCAAAGTTAAAATAATAAATAATTTCAATACATATTCCCACATATTGCAATAATAAACTTAGATGAAGGCATAAGCCATGTCTCCTAAAATAATTCTGCTTTTTACTGGACTTTTGATTAATAGTTAAATTAAAATTCATTTCTAGTACAGCTATAAAGATAAGCAAGTTGAACATTTTTTAAATTATATTTATTTTTTAGGGCAGGGTGGCGGTCAGAGGACAACTTGAGGTTCTCTCCTTCCACCATGTGGTCCTGGGAATCAAAGTCAGGTCATCACGCTTGGCAGCAAATGCCCTTGCCTGCTAAGCCATATCACCATCCCTCAAAATGACCTTCTTTAGGCTAGCCATTCCCCCTGCCTTGTGGGTACACGTGCACGTTCTCACACTCACTCTCACTCTTGCTCTCACTCTCTGATAGGCTGACTTGATTTATCCTCCTTCAACAGCTTCACAGCCTTAACTGGTCTGAACCTACTGGTAAGATGTGCTTCAAGTAATCTGGATTAATGGAAGCATCCATATTTATCCTTCACTCTTCTCTACTGGAGAAAAACAGAATCATCAAGGTAAAATGGAAAATAATTACCTCTTTTTGAAAATGGAGAAATGGAGATATGAAATGGGGTCACAAAATTAAGCTGAGAACAGCCTAGCTGGCCTGACATAATCAACTGTTTATAGGTCAGAGAACTCCATGAGTTGTCTAAGTGAATTATTGAGAGCATGCATGAAGACAAATACTTCCTAAACGCCAAACAATCTTTACTTTTTAATTGTACATATTTGTAATAAAGAGTTTAACATTGGAGATATCCAACTGGCAAAGGAAAATATGAAAAAGAAAGGCAGATACAATGTAGTGAATATGTAAGCAATGGCTGGAAATCCTGGCAAACAGACCATCCTTTATCCCTGAGTCCCATCCCAGCTTTGTGGTTATTCTTCATAATGCAAGTGTCAAAAAGAAGGCACAAGGCTGCCACAGAAATGGAACATTTTGGATTTCCACATTAAATGGGAGTGCTTCGGAGGGAGCTTATGTGATCTATGTGTCCGTCAGTTAACCTAGTACTTATTCTAAATTACATTGTGAAGACAACAGACAGTATTTTTAAAGAGTTTAAAAACTACATATTCCATGGATATCATGTAAAACCTCTTTACGGACCCACTGAAGTATCTATACCAATTTATGTCTTTATTGTTCATTCTACCCTTGGGTCCTGTCTTGGAGGTAAGAAGAGTGATAAAACCATACAATGAGAAAATGAAGTAAGACTCATAGCCTGATGGATGTGTACCCGCTATGACTGCAGATCAGGTCATACCTGGTGAGGTGCATGTTAGTTAGAATGGATAGTGTTTGTGCTTCTGATAAGTCGACCCTAGCTCTGTGTTCTATCAGGATGGAGTGGCCATGGATATATAAACCCCAACAAGAGGATACCTTGGTCGGTAAAGTGCTTCCTTACAAGCACAAGGGCCTGGTTTTGCTCCCCAAACCCACAGTTAAAAATAAAGAACTCAGCATGATGGGGTGTGCCTGAATCCAAGTCCAGGGGAGGCAGGGACAGGGGGATCCCTAGATCATGCAGGCCGGCCAGCCTTAGCACGTAGTGACTGCAGGCCAGTGAGAGATGTACTGTCTCGAAAAGCAAGACAGATGGCACCGGAGGAATGACAGCTGTGGTTGCCCTCCGGTCCTCATGTTCATGCTCACATGTGTACCTGCACACATACACACACACACACACACACACACACACACACACACCATCCCAATGTCTAAAAATGCATGCAAACATGTTTAATATGACAATAATCTTACCAAGTCTACTGCTTTCAGGAACTTCAAAGTTATACACGGCTTCTGTAAAAACAGGGTAGTTGTCATTCTCATCCTCCACCTTGATGGGCAGCGGGAGAGGTAAATCTGCAGAATACCCGTCTGCAGTGGATGCATAGGCAATCAGCTGCGAAAGAGGAACAAGCAACTTCACCAATTAATCTCCGAGCAGAAGGAAGACAAGATGCCCTGTAAGCCTCTCTGCAAATCTTTTCAATAGCAAGCCAATGCTTTCCAAAGTATCAGCACTGGACAAAGAGAACCTCATAGCACAAGGGCACTTAGTATTTGGAGGAGACAGTTCAACTTCAAATAAAGCCTAGGTCAGAGTGCAAAGGTCAGAGACGACTCTCTATAAACATTATTCTGAGGCAATCAGTGTCCTTGTAAAGACTCAGATTACACTGCGTAATTTGTCATCAGTAAGCCTTTTGGGGAGAACAATTTAATTTGTTTCCATTGGAAAAAACACTGCATAATCTATAAAGCAGCCACTCCCAGTCTTGGCATTCCGAAGCTTTTATTGTTTACCCCATAGACTGCATATTTGAAATCATTCTTCTAACAAAGCACATTTACTAATATCCTCATGGCTAACTAACCAAAGGAAACGTAACGTCAGCATATAATTGTGACATTGAACAGAACATTTTCTAACCGAAAACAAAGGATGAGGACATCGGTCAGATTGGTTCCTCATCATCTCTTTCTTTTTCTAGAAACAGAATCCATTTTTCCTATGGAGAATCCTTCCTGACCAAACTCAGGGTTGGTTCATAATACCATAACACGTTCATCTCGGGAAAATTATATGAGTCACCCCTTACTGTCTTTATATACTTTCCCACATGGAAGCACTAGACTACTAATCTTTAATTGGACTTGGTCTCCCACTTTTATTTCCTTATCTAGTTCTCAGACATGATATGTGTGTGGAACGAACGCAAATAACTTAGAACAGTAGAGAAAGATCAACTGTGGACATGTTCTTGAGAGGTGAAAATGTACTACTGGCCAGAGAAAGTGCCTGATGAGCAAAGTCAACCTCCTAAAAATACACTGGGTTTTATATTCAAATAAATTTGGCTTTGTTTTAGGCTTACCTAATCAAAGTTGAAATTAAGTGCTGGCCAAACATTCCAAAATATTGCATACTTTACCTGCCTTTGACTTTAAGATACCCCTCTAAGACCAGAGTGCAGAAAAGAAACGAGGAGATGGACAACCAGAAGAAAGACAGCTCATATCAAGTAATATGTATCAATAAAATTCCTACATCAAAAACATCATATTCTTCACGATCCACAGGTCGAGTACAATACAGGTTCCCAGTGTCTCTCTCTATGAAAAACAAATTCAGTGGTTCTTGGTCAACTCCACGCCCACTTATTGAGTAGAAAACAGTATAGTTCTGTGCTGCGTCAGATTGAACCTGAAAGAAAAAAATAATAAACACGTAGAGTCAATTACAATGTTATTTTGGACCCCTAGGCTCCTGTGTTTGGACATCTGGTCCCTACCTGGTTGCACTGTTTTGGGAGGCTGTGGAAACTTTAGAAGGTGGAGCCTCACTGGAGGAAGGGAGTCACTGGAGGCAGGCCTCAAGGTTTGATAGGCAGGCCCTCCTTCCTATATACTCTGTGCTCCCGGATTGTGGACTGTGACCTCCCACCTCACACTCCTGCCTCCATGCCCTCCCCACCATGATGGACTGCATCCGCTCAAGCTGTGAGCCAGAATAAGCCCTTTCTCCCTTCAATAGCAGCAAAAAAAGAACTAATTAGCTTAGTGAGTGCAAAGGAAAGAAAGGGGGAAGAAAAAAGATTTTAAAAGTAGAGGCCAGGGGCTGGAGAGATGAATCGGAGTTTAAGAGCACTGGCTGCTCCTGCAGAGGACCCAGGTTTGGCTCCCAGAACCCACATGGCGGCTAATAACCATCTGTAACTCCGGTCCTAGGAATCTGGCCCCTTCTTTGGGCCTCCATGGGTATTGCATATGCAGGTGCACTTACATGCATGTGGGCAAAACACTCATTCATATAAAATAAAAATAAATAAAAATAAAATTTAAAAGCAGAAGCCAATGAAGGAGCAGAAAGTGGGGCAGCTGGTGTCTTAGGACACAGATGACAGGAGGCAGAGGCAGGCAGAGCTCTGTGAGTTCAAGGCCAGCCTGGTCTACATAGTGAGAGCCAGGATGGCTGGGGCTACAGGGAGACCCTGTCTCAAAAAGACTAAAATGAAAAAAAGAACACAGATGAAGGAAGTATTTGCTTCAGGAAGGTGGTGAAAGGGAAGTATGTGCGTGTTCACAAAGGATATAGGGACTAAGAAGTAACTGGTTTAACAAGGTCATAGCTAAAACTACTCAAAACCACTCTTAGTATGCTTCCCCTGTGTTTGTTATTACAAAGAAGAAAAATCTCACACTGAACAGAACGTAAGAGTGACCGGAAGAATATTTAAACATGAACCAGCACACAGATGAAGCCATCAGAATTAAACAACCAGGGTTTGGAGAGATGGCTCAGCAGTTAAGACCACTGTTTTGGCAGGGGATCTGGGTTCAATTCCCAGCACCCACACAGTAGCTATAAACAACCCATAACTCTAGTTCCAGAGGATCCGACACTCTATTCTGATATCTGTGGGCATTGCACCACATGGGTGCACTTACATACGTGCAGACAGTCTACTCATACACATAAAATAAAAATTATAAATAAAATATTTTTAAAGAATAGTAAAAAAGAGTTGTGCAACCACAACTTTTACAAACATAAGGTGGGAAAGGCAATCACAAGGCCAGGGCCCTGACTCCAGACTCCCTGTCAGAATGCACATTGCCCGTCATGGTCTAGACGCTGCCTCTCCAGCCTCATGGCCTGGCTCTGCCCTCATCATACCCAAGAGGACTGAGCTCTGGAGCTCCTTCTGGGAGCTCTGCTTGCTCTCACCTCTGCACTCCCTCTTCCTCCATAATTATTTACCTGCATGAGACTTTCCTATCCTCTACGACCCACCTCAAGTGTCTCCTCCTCTCAGTCTTTCCTCGCTTTTGTCCCTTAGCTCAAGGCTTGATGTTCACCCCCTCAGCCATCTCAGAAAGCACCGTAATCATCCACCTGCTTCTCTCCTTCACTGGCGCCAATAAACCACTGGCAGTGAGGACCAGGGCTCAGTTTTCTTCTTCCCTTAGTGCCAACAGCAGTGTGTACACAACAAGCAGCAGATACACAGTAACTATGTGTCAGAGTGAGTAATAAGATCGCACAGTGGCTGCAGCTTCTGTCTCTTGTCATGAACACTTCAGCCTTTTCTCATTTCCTTCACTTCGTTACACCCGGAAATTACTCAAAACTCCGAAGAGTGAGCAGAGAGTAACCCACACAAGGGCAAGAGAGGAGCACCCTGGGAAGAGGGGTAGAGCTTCCTGCCCTATGAAGAGAAAGCAGATGGGGGTGCATACTGGAACTCAGGGACAAAGCATGGGCTTAGTCCGGAGCAGGAAGGCCCCCTGCAGAGAGAGTAGGCATGTGCAGAGAGGGGTGAGACACTAAAGCCATGCAGCACATGAACGCTGATGGACACTCCAGGCGGGGCTTGAATGGTGCATGGGTTATGGGAAGCCGGTTCCTGTAAACCACCTCTGCCCCAAATGTCATATAAACTATACAAAACTGAAGCTAGAAATATGTTATGCTGGTTTTGTCAATCCTCATCAGGACCATGAGACCCCCGTGACTGAGGGCCAGTCTCCCAGAGCGCAGGAAGGGAAAAATTAGTAAAGTACACTTTGTGAACATTAGTTAGAGCTGCTTGTTTTGTTAATGCTCATTAAAGATTTAATAAATTGCAATAAAATAGACCTTCTGCTCACAAGGAATGTGCACCTACCTGTTGAAGAAACAGTGGGAAGGGGCCCAAGGAATTCTCTTGCATTGAACAAGGAATTGGTGCCCATCTCCTCTTGGCTCTCCTGAGGACAGTTTCCCTACTGTGTCTCTTCTTCAATACCTGAATTTAGATAATGGGGAAATAAATAAACAGGAGCATCAGCACCTGCTCCGTCTTAAACCAGCAGGCATCTTAGAAACCTAAATCTGCTTAGCAGTTCAGTCTTAGGAGCACTCATGTGCAAGCTGAAACCAGTTCATAAAGCCTTGTTGCACTCCAAGTGTAAGAAAGAACTTAAAGATTTCAAAACTAGAGTGTCTTCCTGACACTGACCATCCTTTCGTCACTCTACCGTCAGCCCCTTGCTCTGTCCAGCGAGGTAGAGCACATGTCCTCCCTGAAGCAGTCTCCACAGCACTTACCTGTTCTCTCTCCTCTCACCCCGTGATCTCAGTTGACCCAGAGAATGGAAATGCACTCTGTCACTGCCCCGACTACCTGCTCTGTCCTTTATGGTAGCCACTGACACCCACTACCATGTGACCATCTATGCTAACTCTAATTAGGCAAAGTGGAAAGCTCTCACCTTCCTTTGCGCTAGTTGTAGGCCAAGTGCTTCTAGAATGTTTCTATCACTGCAAAAAGTTCCACAGATGTTTCAGTGGTACTCATTTTATTTCATGTTGTAGCAAAGGGAGACATTTGATTTCATGGCAGTTATTAATTGTGACTTGTTAATTTTATTAAATATTTAGTAAAGTGCCAGGCAGTCATTTAATTAGCCTTATCAGTTTCATTAACACAGATAGGTTTAGGCCAATTTAAACCTTCCATCATTTTATGACTATTTTCATAATACTACACCTCATGATTAAGTTTTTGCCTAATAAGGCGCTGGGCATGATGGTGCATGCCTTTAGTCCCAGCATTCAGGAGACAAAGGCAGGCTGATCTCTGTGAGATTGAGTCTAGCCTGGTCTACATAGCAAGTTCCAGACCAGCTGAGGCTACAGGAAGACCCTGTCTCAAAAAGGCAAAAAGAAAGAAAAAGAAGGAAAGAGAGAGAGACAGAGACAGAGAGAGACAGAGAGAAGGAAGGAAGGAAAGAAGGAAAGAAAGAAAGAAAAGAAAGAAAGAAAGAAAGAAAGGAAAGGAAGAAAGAAAGAAAGAAAGAAAGAAAGAAAGAAAGAAAGAAAGAAAGAAAGAAAGAAAGAAAGAAAGAAAAGGGAGGGAGGGGAAAGAGAAAAGAAACCCTAGAAGCTAAGGTGGATCAGTTCCCAACCTGACCCTGGAGCACAAATGCCATTAGTTGGACTTTAAAGATCAAAAAAACCTTCACAGAGTGGCATCATTTCCATTTAACACAGGTAAGCTAAGACCAGTCTGTACCTAGTGTTGAGAAGGATTTACAAACAAAAGGGGAGATGAAGCAAGATAAAGAGGATGAGAAGGGAAGAAAAATAATAGGTCCAAAAGTGAGGGAAAGGAAGAGGAGGGGGAAAGCGGAGGAAAAGGTGTGATTTATCCTCTGGTCTTCTTTGCCATTTTTGTGGTGTTTTAAGGAAAAGAAGCACAAGCTTGATGATGCTCCGTGCATGCTGAATACCTGTTTCCGGTGTTCCAGGAGCACAGGAATTTCTCTCTGAGTCTGTGTCTTCGTGTCAGAAAGCCAAATGGTGAACGATCTTTTCTCATCAGACAGCACAACAGCTCTGGCTGTGTATACTGACCCATCATCTAGAACTCTGAAATCAGGATCACTTAGCCTGAATTGGTCTGCAGATCGGAGGCACTCTTTCAAATTAACTGCCAGGGAAAATGTCCAAGTCATAAGGAAAAGCATGCAAAAAGGAAAACAAATGTTAAAGTAATATATATGACCTTCCTGCAAAACCATGAAGTGAAATGACATAAACCAAGCACTTCACATTTGCCAAATGCCTTGCTAGTTCTTTTACTTTCTTAAAAACAATAATTTTCTTTTAGTTAAAAATTGGTTCTTGACTGTATGTTTCTACTGAACAAGGTTCAAGCTTTAATGTGCTTCTAATAGACTTACGAAAATGGTCTTCCAATTAAAGAGGTACTTATATTACACTCATGACAAGGTTAAGCTGTACACCCCCACAGGCACCTGAGTAAACACGAGGAAGTTTCCCTTAACAATGCACCATGAGTCTCCTAAGATGCACCTGTCATTAGTCAGAGAACATACACAAAAGCACAAAGAACAAAGGACGGATGAGCCAGACAGCCAAGGAAGATGATCAGTCTCTGAGTTCTTCTACTGGCACAGTTTTGTGCCTTCTACCCCCAGAGACACAACTCCATGGCTCTCCACTTGAACTCTGTTTGGTGTCTTTCCGCTCTGGAAATTTTGCCTTCTAATAAAAGACAATAATATGTATCAAATACAGCTGTCTCCCATCCCATTCTACTTTTACAGAAACTGAACTGATAATCCTCAGACAACCACGCATAGCCCAGAGAATGTCTGTGCTGTGTCTGTATCTTGATTTTGACCCAAGTCTACCACAGGTGGGTACTTGACCAAAAAGAAGCAAACACTTTCAAGGGCTAACCGTATACTCTTTCCTGTGCATATTTTCAACTGAACGATTCCTTCTGGCCTGTTTTCCAAGTGAACCCCCCACCTCTCCTCACATCCTTTCTTTCCTTCTTTCCCACAGGGGAAAAAAAGGTGCTATTGGTCTAATAAAATTAGCTGAGGCATTTTAAGAAAAAATCACTTTGTTGAAAAAGTAATATTTCTAAAATTCATGGTGGTTTCCTTCAACTACATGAAAAGTCAAGCTAGGCACAGCTGCCCAGCTGCTGAGAATGACAGGCTCCCCAGCTCTTCAGGGCTCCGTTTAGAAAAGGATGATGAACAATTATGTACAGTTCTGAGAATGGAGCACCTTTCCATGCTTCTCCGTAAAGCTACCTCTGGACAGAATACTGCTCCAGAGCTGGCAAGATGACACAAGGGGTAAAGGAGCCTGTTGCCAAGTCTGACAATCTGAGTTCAATCTCAGGACCCCCATGATGGAAGGAAAGAACCAACTCCACAAGTTGTCTTCTGTCCTCCACATGTGTGCTATAGTACTTGCATGCCCACACACATGCACACGCACATGTGCATTGTGCACCCCCTCCACACACAATAAACTAATAAAATGTAATTTTAAAAAAAGAATACTGCCCTGATTTTCTTCAATCTTTATATTTCTGCAATGCTCAGAACCCTAGAGCATTAAAAGTGTGATATTGTAAACTGGGGCTGGAGAGATGGCTCAGCGATTAAGAACACTGGCTGTTGTTGCAGAAGACCTGGGTTCAAATCCCAGCACCACATGGCAGCTAACAACTGTCTGTAACTCTTTCCAGGGAATCCGATGGCCTCTTCTGTCGTCCGTGGGCATTGCATGACATGGATGCACTTACTCACATGTAGGCAATACACACATACACATAAGATAAAAATAATAAATAAAAAAGGTTTTAAGACTTGATATTGTAAACTGTTAAAACATCAATGACAACAAAAACATGACTTAGAAAACTTGCACTAGAATCAACTGCAAAATAAAACAGTTATGGCACTGGAGAAATGGCTCAGCAGTTAAGGGCACTAGCTGTTCTTGTAGAATATCTGAGTTCAAATTACAGAAATTGCATGGTGGCTAACAACCATCAGTAACTCCAGTTCCAGGGGATCTGACATCTTCTTCTGTCCTCCATGGGCATACATATAAAATAAAAATAAATATTTTTTTAATTCAGTTATGAGAACAAAAACTTTAAGATAATACTAAATCATCTCTCTTTAGAAGCAGAGAGTCCAACTGCAGAATGCAAAGATGACATATCATGGATTTTGCAGACTAAGAAAACTAAGTTTCTGTTTCAAAACAACTATTTAGGAAGTTCTCACCTCTTCCAATTATTTTGTCTGCCTCTAGTGTCGATGGTACATTTAATATCACCTCTTTACAGGCTTCACCAGCAAAACTGAAGACCTAGGCATTTAAAAGCATCACATTAGTTCAGTAGAGAATGAGAAACAAAGTCACATGATCATCTCAGTAGATGAACAAGCAGTTGACAAAATTGACAGTTTCCACCTGTGTTTATGATAAACACCCCCCACATTCCAGGGACAGAAGGACGCTTTCTTAATAAAGATCATCAATGAAAACCTGACAGCTGGCTTCATATTTAGGTGACAACGACTGAATGTTTTCCTCCAACATTAGAAAGAAGAAGACGATGATGTTACTCCCACTGCTTCTATGTAGCATTATATCAAATCTCCTAGCCAATAAATTAATCCAGATATGCAAAAGGCTTGGAAAGGAAGAAATAAGCTCTCTCTGTCCGTGGATATCACAACCATGTATATAGAAAATCCTAAGGAGCCTACAGTAAAACCACCAAAACAAATAGATGAGTTCAACAAGACTGTAGGAAATAAGACAAACACACAAAATGGATTGCTTGAGTTGGCGGGAGAACTTACTGAGTAAAGGTGCCAAGCCAAATCTGACAACCTGAGCTTAATCCCCAGAACCCATACAACAAAAGAAAAGAGAACTGACTCCCACCAACTTGTCCTCTGACTTCCATAAGCATGGCAAAACACATGTGTGTGTACACACACACACACACACACACACACACACACAAATAATAGTATTTTGTTTAAATAGATTTCATTCCTGTACAGTAGCAATAATAATAATAAAAGAGAAACTAAGCAAATAATTCCTTTTGGTGAGCTAGAGCAATGACTTAACAGTTAAGAGTACTCAGTGCTCTTCTAGAGGACATGGGTTCAGTCCCCAGCACCCACATGGTGGTGAATGACCATCTGTAACACCAGTTCCAAGGGATCCAAAGTCTTTTTCTGACTTCCACAGGCATTACATGATACAGGTCCTTATATACATGCAGGAAAAATACTCATACACACAAAATAAAAATAATGGTTTTTTAATTCCATTTTGGATGAAATGTTTTGGAATAAATTTGATCAAAGAAGTACAAGATGACACTGAAAATAATGAAACACGGGCAAAAGAAGTTTTAAAAGACCAAATAAGGAGAGTAACATCCATCTTCATAGAATCAGAAGATATAACCTCCAAAGCCATCCAAAATTTATCTCTGTCAATTCCCAGTTTCCGTTTTTGAAAAAGTTGGTAATTAGTCCTTATGGAAGTGCAGGAAACCCAAAATGCACTGTGAAGAAAAGAAAAAGTTTGGAGGACTGACATTGTCTACTTTTGAAATAGTTCAAAGCTACAAATAACCCAAACCAAATAATATTAACAAAATACATAGACAGATAGAATAGAACTGACATCCTGGAAACTGGCCTTTACTTATAGTTAGCTTCCAGAAAGTTCAAGGGAAAGAAATCACTTTTAAAATGATACTGGAACAATTAGATTTTCTTCTACATAAAAGTGGATGTGAGCCCCTAAGCCATACCATGCACAGAAATTAACTCAGAATGGACTACATTTAAGAACTAAGATAATTTTGACGAAAAATTAAGTATAAATCTTCATGATCCTACACTAGGACATAAATTCTTAGATATAATAAGCACAGCATAAAATAACAATGGATCAAACAGGACTTATTTGATATTTTAAAACATTTTCTTTCACATAAAAGGAACTGAAAATCCAACCCACAGAATGGGAGACAATATTTCAAGTCAGATCACTATCAATGATGTCTCCATAATGTATAAAGTTATTTATAACTCAATATGATAATAACACAAAAATAGGCAAAGAATTTGAATGGCTATTATTCAAAAAGACACACAAATGACCATTAAGCAAATAATAACCGTCCAACAGCATAAGGCACTAGGGAAGTGCAAACCTAACCATGGAGATGCCTACTCGAGTGGCTAAAAATGACATTGCTGTTGAGAATGTGGAGGAACTGGAAACTTCATGTATGGTTAGTGGAAATGTAAAATGCTGTAGACATACGGGAAATAGTTTAGCAGTTTCTGAGATAATTAGGCATCAAGTAAAGAGGTGATCTAAAAATTCCACTCTATTTAAAAGAAATGAAAGCTGTGTTCACATAAGCTTGCACACGTTCGTCCATCACAGCACTATTTATAAGGATCAAGAGGCATAAACAGCCCACATGTCCACCAGCTAGTAGACAGCTCAACAAAATGTGATCTGTCCATGCAATGGGATATTACTCAGCTATTTTAAAAAATCTAAGTACCAATCCAGGCAACAACATGGATAAACCTGCAAATACTTAACCCATGACTAAGATTCTTCCAGACATAAAAGGGGCTGTATTTGTATCACTTCATAAATGTGCAGAGTCCCCAAAAGGCAATTAGCGAAATACAAAGGAGATTAGTGGTTTCCTGGCTGCTGGCCAGGAACAGGAAGAGACTGACAATGGGCTTGAGGCTTCTTGTAAAAGCTGTAGAAATGCTCCAGTTTTAGACTGTGGTGATCACTGAGCTTTCTGAAAACGTACTGAAATTCACTGAACTGTTCACATCCTAGAACTGTGTTTCATAGACCGCAAATTATACCTCAGCATGACTTCTTTAAGCAAAACAGGGTACATCACTGATAGCAGCATGAGTCCTTTACCATCTCTACCAACTGGCAGAGCAAGGCTCTTTCAGATGTACAAATTCAGACAAGCATTTCAGAAAAATATAATAATAACCACAAAGGATTTTAGCTCTGATATAATCAAGTGTGAAACACATAGGTGCTTGTGTGTATGTATGTACTTAAAAGGCTAACATAATAATCCGTCAGTAACTGTACGTAGAAATGTTACATAATTCAAGATCCTTATTATATCCAATATTGATATATACTATTAGTAACTGAATTTCTCATACTATTAATAATTTGATCATTTCTTTACATTGATGATTATTTACGTTGTTTTCCTTTTTCTTATTCTACGTGATACTAAACTGAGTATCCATGCAAGTAGAAGGCATTCAAATACCTACAGTACAAATTTCTATGCTGCCTGAAAACACTATAAGTCTGACCGGTTACTGATAATCTGTTGCCAGTGCATTACTATAAATGTAGCTGAACACATCCAAAGCACTGGAATCTATTTCTCCGATCCTCATATACAATGGATTTATGTATCTGATAACTGCCTCGTTTACATTCTCTTAATTCTTTCTGAGACTGAGCACTTTTTCTCACTTTCTTTGCCATTTACCTTCTATTTCTACCTCTAAATCCTCCCTTAGTTTTTTGAGACAGGGTCTCACTTTGTATTCCTAGCTCTGGAACTCACTGCATAGACCAAGTTGGCCTTGAACTCACACTGGTTTACCTGCCTCTGCCTCCTGAGTACTAAGATCGAAGAGTGCGCTACCACGTGTGGCTTCATTTATTTTTTTTAATTGCAGGGTTTTTCAGTTTTAAGATTCCTATTTGGCTCATTTTGTGGCTTTTTTTTTTAGATATTGCTACAATTTTAGTCTACTTAATATTGATTTCTTTTGCATTTTTAATCAACTGTAGTCATAATTCCGTCTGGTTTGGGTTTCGATTTAATTTTTAACTCCTGCTCATATTTTCTTCTAAAATTGTAAATTTAGTTCTAGTCTTTAAATCTTTTGCCCATATGAAACACGTCTTATGCATGATTCGTTTTAGGTATTTGATCCGTTCTGTAGCTACAGAGCTCACCGTCTGGCTCAGGACCCTCACAATGACAGTTCCTTTCTTCATTCATCCTGTTAGCTCCGTGGTATACCATAACATGTACTGAACCCAAATGAAGACTGTTTCTGAGCTTCCTCCGCCATCGTCTCAGTGCACGCATCTATGCCTCCATCAGTGCTCATCATGTTACTCAACACAACATCTTGTCATATCTTGGAGTTCACTCTGGTGACCCCAAACCTTATCGTCTTCCTTTAAAGAAGCTCCTTTCAGCCTTCAAGTCTTTCAAAGAAAATGTGTGATCAACTGACCATGTCTCATTTATATTTTTCATTTTGTTTCCATTTAAATGAGAATTTGACATGCTAGGGCTATTGAAGATGGTAAACATGATGCTCTATCCCTTATTTGTGAATTACATTCTCCCTTTCAATAAAGTATTATAAGCTTTGCTATACAGCTCTTTCATGTTTTTATAGATCGTTTTATTTAGTTATTTTTGTTTTGTTTTTAAAAATCAGGGTTTAATGTACCCCAGCTAGCCTTGAACTTGCTTTATAGCTAAGGATGATCTTGAACTCCTGATCCTTCTGTCTCTATCTTCTGAGTTCTGAGATTGCAGGTGTTCACCCCCACACCCAGCTTGTTAGAGTGCTTTTAAGTATATTAATGACCACATACTAGGAACAGGATTCTTCCTAACCTATATTCTGTCTGTTGATAGCATTAGGAATCATTTTTAAATATGGAAACTTGCTGGCTTTTATTGATTCCAGTGGTTTCTGAACAAACACTGTTGGATCTTCCACAGAGCTGCTCTCATGGCACAATGTCCACTGGAATTCTTTCCATTCCGTACTAAACTTCTTCCATTATTTCCTTTATATATTTTATGTGTTTATTAAGGCTTCCAATAGAATGCTTAAAGGAAATGGCTCTAAGGATCACAATCACTTTGTTTCTAGCCTTAAAGAAAATGTTTATCATTTTATCTTTGAGTCTTTTTTCTTCATTATATTCATTCATTCATTCATTCATTTTTAGACTTTATTTTTAATTCTCTCTCTCTCTCTCTCTCTCTCTCTCTCTGTGTGTGTGTGTGTGTGTGTGTGTGTGTGTGTGTGTGTGTGTGGACTTGAGCTCAGGAGCCCACAGAGGCCAAAATAGGTCATTAGATCCCCCTGAAGCTGGAGTTACAGGTGGTTGTGAGCCACCTGCTGTGGGTGCTGGGAACTGAATTTGAGTCCTCTGCAAGGGAAGCTCTTAATCCCTAAGCCAGCTCTCCAGCCCTGATCAATTTTTACCAAGTATATTTCATT